CGATAAACCAGAAGGAATGCAACTTTAGTCAACACCACTCACATTCAATTCTAAACGAACAGTAGAATAGACTATATAGCACCTCCACTACTGAAAGAGCGAAAATGTTCGGTGATGGGATTCAATCCCGCGACCCATAGATAGCGATTTAAGTGTCCTAACCATTTGGCTATACCTTTGATTTTTGTATATTTTGCATTGATAAGCATAACAAAATGGGGAAGTTTATAAATACTTTTTGCCTATCTGTCTTAGTGAAATAATTATTCTAAGCTGGAAATTTCAGCATTTCTCAAGGCTAAAACTGATATAAATAGATTTTTCTAAAAGTTGAAATTTTTAATTACTAAAACCTAATATTGTTAACATAAATTTCTAATTTTTCTTTTGCAAAACTGATCATTAATTGAATTTTCAGGTCAGTCTAGGAAGATTTCATCTTTGAAAAGTAAAAAGGTTGATAACTTGACAAATAAATTCTGATATCAGTATTTCAATTTACTGTTTCTGGTATTCTTATGAGAAACATTATACGCGTTACTTTTCTATTACAGTTATAACGTATAATAATTTTCCATTTTCAAGCTTATGAGAGCCCCGGCATGGGGCGCTCGACTCGCAATCTACGGGTCGCGGGTTCGAATCCCCGTCACACCAAACATGCTCGCTCTTTCAGCCGTGGGGCGTTATTATATGACGGTCAATCCCACTATTCGTTGGTAAAAGAGTAGCCCAAAAGTTGGCGGTGGGTGGTGATGACTAGCTTTCTTCCTTCTGGTCTTTCACTGCTAAATTAGGGACGGTTAGCGCAGAAAGCTCTTGTGTAGCTTTGCGCGAAATTCAAACCAAACCACACACGTTTATTTACTGAAAGCTTTTAACTACTATATTCTACAAAATCAACAGCAGAAACAAAACAAATAAAATGGGATATGATTAAAACCCTAGCAAATTAAACAAGTTTCAAAATTTTGACATTAACACCAACATCACTTTTACTTGGATTTTACTATTGAAAAAGTCTAAACTAGTATTCCAAAGCTTAAATTTATTACTCCCAATGAAAATATTTAGCCTCGAATTTGGAGTTATAAGTAGCATTTGAATCCCACTGTAACTTGTCCTAGGATTTTCTTCCAACAAACTCAGCTATTTTAGTTTTGTATCTAAAGAGTATCACACAATATTCGCTGCAGAAATTCCACTACTACCCAACTAGATAAATTGAGCAAATTTTGCAAAACGTCATACAAATGTCTTCCCATGACAGGATACACGATTAATTAAGGTGTTTAAGGTTGTAAATGGAATTGATAGGGTTGACGTCATGTTCAGCTAAGACAGTTTTATTTTTCTAACAGGGTGGTTGGCTTTTGTTATGGGTTGCCTTTGGATGTCATGGAGGCTGTAAATTTAAGTGAGTTTAAGAGAAAGCTTGATAATTATATGAATGATAATGGCTGACTTTAAGATTTTTATAACAGTTTTAGTTTAGTTTAGTGGATGGGACAGCCGAGATGGGCCAATAGATCTCATGTTATCCCAAAATATTATGTTATATTATAATAGCCCAGAAAGTAAGGGTTGCAACGTCCTTCCAGCTCTCGATTTCTCAGTAAGTCAATTGTCTTAACTGTAAAATAATGAAATGTCTATCACATGATGTACCGTACATATATTCTATCATAAAGCACCATCTGATAGCTTGGAAAGCAAGGAACTCCACTTCTTTCCTGTCGTTGGTTTTTCCAATCAAGTGGCTGTCCTAACTGCTGATCAAGCAATTAATTCCAGTCATAACGAATAGAAGATCCCTACCAACACCTCAGTTGATCATCAGAGCAGATAAATGTTCCTCTGCTGGTGCTTCATTATGTAACTCTTCACAAACAGACAGATGTGTACTACTAGTGTCCTCCTAAGCATCAGCTGAGATGAGATAATATTATACAGTACACACATCATTAAGGTCGACTTGCTTGTTCACCTCTGATTTCTGGAGTAACCAGTTTTTAATGAAGTAGTCTGGCAGCTTATTCTCATATTTAACATGCATATGCATGCTGTATGATTACCAAACTCATAATTCACTTCACTGAGTTGTCATCAGGCAAGATATGGATCAGACTAGATAAAATTAAGCTGTTTCTGAGCTACAGGCATACCACAAATATATACAGTCATCAGACTTATATCTTTGTTTCATTACTGTTTTGTTGTATCATCTCTTTCGGTCTACAGACATATATCAACTATTTGTTGCCACACAAATTTATGTGGATCAGCTATTGAAAAACACAGCTATTCCACATTGTCCTGGGTATACTGTGGTACCTATGTATTGGAGGAAGTGGCAATGCAATTTAATGATGAATGAACTATGGTTTGGGCACTTGCCGTGGCCTTCCTTACTAAAGTGGACCTTAAGCTTTATGTCTAGCATCTACTTCATTGATCGAGTGGTAGAGAGGCTGTTCTTCAGCTGGTATTCTTGGGTCAATGTCTCCAGCTAAACTACCTTTTCCTCACTTGAAAATTATGCTGGTGGGCCATCGTGCAGCAACAAATGCTTCAGGAAATTCCAACAACCAGAATTGGAAAACTGCTGGATAGTTGAAGAACAGGATAGCCGTGTCATTTGGCTGCTGAGATTGACAAGAGCAGAAATCAAGAGTCAAGAGCAAGAAAAACTAAATTATTGAAATATCTAATTTAATACTCTAGCGCAATAAAGAAAGTCAGATATTACACAAGTTGTATACTTCAACTAGTGATCTACATTCAGTCTAAAGTCAAACCAGGTTTTTGCATTATAATGGCTTGTTTGAATAGGTTAATTTCCAAGAAGTCGTACTAAAAGATTTGATTGTGTCCACAAAGAGGCTCTTGATAGGTACGGTTCAGAATAGTTAAAACTGGAACCAGTTGTTACGACAGCGGAAGTCACGTGACGTTGGGTAACACGTCATGAGCTTCTAGAAAATTCATGCCCCTTCGTGAAGCCTCGAGTGTTTACTAGATGTACGGTATTCTTGTGTATAAGACCGCCAAGAAGTGACGACAACAATGTAATTGAATTACAGACAGAGATAGAGACGGACAATTGAGTCGGGCGACGTGAGTTCGCTCGTTGTGAATTATA